ACGGAACCCTGGTGCCTGCACGGTCCCGGGGGTGGGGGAGGGAGGGGGGAGGGTTGGGCGGCACACCCACTGGGAAGGAAATGCCCCCCGCCCAGCCCTGCCGAGATCGAGATCTGACACCTGCTAGGGTGGCAGACCTGGGTGAGAGGACTCTGGAAAAGGGTCCCTCGGAGGGGACCCGACCCCCACGCTTCGGAAGATCCCTCAATGGCTCTCTCCTGCCCGCTCATCTGCGGCCGGAAGCCACCCCCTCTCCCCCAGGCTTCTCCCCCGCACAGATGGTGCAGTCCTCCGACTCAGTCTCATCCCATACATTCAGCTGCGGTTCCGCACTCTTCATGCCCTCAGGCCTCTGCCCCTTCCTCCCTCCTCCCTAGCTCTCCCTGGAGGTGAAAGAACCAACGATTGCACTGCTCTTGGATAAAGTCAGGAAACAAAAAATTACCTTCTTTATTTAACTTAACTCCTCCCCTTCTGCCCCTGTCCCTGCGCTGGTCCCTGGAAAGGCACAACGGGAGATTGAAGAAATGTCTCTAAACTCAGTCCACGGGTTACAATACGTTTGCTTTGCTTTGGCATTTGGGAGGAAAATTAGATGCAGTTTTGGCGATTTGGGGGGGTGGGGGGTGCATACACAATGTGGGATTTATTTTTTTTCCTTCTTTAATGGAATTCCTTATATGACAGAAAGCGACAAGGAGAGGACACCATCCCTGTGGGATGTCAGCCTGGCAAGGCTCCTGGGCTCAGCATCCTGGGCACATCCTGGAAGCTCCTCTCAGTGGGCCGTGCTGGGGCGGCTCCTCCGCAGGGGCCGTGAGCTCCGCTTCTGTAGTCTGCGCTTGTAGGTAGAGGCTGGGGTGAAAGGGAGATGGAAACATCTGGGTGAACCCTGGGAAGAAAGTGGGCCAGCCCAGCCTCTCCCCGTCCTGACCCTTCTCCGCTGGCTCCCCTCCCTGCAGAAACCATGGGCTCTGGAAGGCAGCCTGAGGCTTTACCCACTTCTCAGTTTTGACTTTTCTTGGAACCACCTTGGGCTTCGGGGCTTCGGGGCTGGTGTTGAAAAGGAAAGTGGGCCACCTGCTTTCATCTTCACCTTCTCAGCGCAAGTGAGCCCTCCCTGGGGGCAGCGGACATCTGTGATTGAGCCCACGGACGGTGCAGACAGCGGGGGTCAGGGAGGAGGACGTGTTGGCAGTATCTAACGCTGTGTGGGGCGATACTCACGGTCTGTGCAGGTGATCCGAGGGTCCTCCCAGTGCCCGCTGGGCTGGCACCGGATGGTGGGCACATGGCGCTGGACAAAGCCCTTGGTGCACTGGTACCGCACCAGGGAATTGATCTCGTACCGGTCCTTCTGCCCGAAGATCCTGGCGTGCTCCACCACGGGGGGCTCTCCGCAGGCCACTGAGGGGCAAACACCCTTCAGAAAGGGCTCTGAGAGGGTCTCCCGTGATGCCCCATGCTGGTCATGAGCCAGTATGGCCCCCTCTGGCTGTGAGGAGATGGGCTCAGAGCCCAAGGAAGGGGCACGGAGCCTGAACACCCAGCAGTGAGCCCTGACTGCTGGGGAAGGGGTGCTTTCATGCCGCACTAAGAATCTGGAAAACACTGGTTCTAACATTTGGGTTCCTCCATGATTTAGAGCAGCAGTAAGGGAATAAAAGGGAGAAAGGTGGGGAAAGAGGGCGAGAGCTGGGCAGACTGTGACTTCTCTATGAAAACAGTGATGCAGGGGAAAGTGGGAACTAAAGGAGGCCTTGGGGGCAAGGGAGGGGAACGAGGCCAGGAGCGGGAACAGGTGGGGAGTGTCCTACCTGCACCTAGGTGTCCACAGACTTAAAGCTGATGATCAAGGCTGACAACTCAGACTCTGCGACTGACGGGCTTGGGAACCCCAGAGAGGGAGGCTCCCAACCTATGTGTGATTGTGGGTGACTTTCTGTGCTGATATCCAAGGCACCATATGTGTGGAGGGGGTCTGTCCTCCTGTGACCTTCACCCTCTCCCTGTCCCTAGTGGGCTGGCCCTTTCCATCACCTCTGGGATGCTGGCATTGGGAGTGGCCCCCCAGGTCAGCTCCAATCTGCTAGTTGGGCGGGTGAGGTGACCTCAACAGCCAGGAGTCCGGGTGACTCGCCCCAGGTCACACAGCAGGAGCCTGGAGTCTTGATTCTCTCCACGCTGCTTATCCCTCCCAGGCTGCTGCTTACCTGTGCCCTTTTTACACGTGAAGGGCAGCTGGTAATTGCAGGGAACGTCATTCCACTCGCCCTTCTCATGCCAGATCATCACCACGCAGTCCTCCCCAGTGGCAAAGAAGTTGTCAGGCTGGTTGGGGCGCCAGTTCTCAAATTGCTGTGGGTGGGAGTGGGGAAGGGGTGAGGAGGGGGCAGCCACAGTACAGCTTGGCCGGACCCCTGCTCTCCCTCCACATCAAGCCCCTTTCTGGCGGGGGCACAAAGACTGCTGGGAGTCTGGTCAGGGCTATCCCAGGTGCCACGGAACCCGGGCCCTCCAAAGAACTGCTCACACCGCCTGGCTGTGGTCCTTGTCAGGAACTCAGAGCCCCCAGGACTCACAGTCCCTGTTAATGAGCTGACGACACTCTCCTCTTCCACATGGGCCAACGGGGCTGGTCACCCAGGCTGCCTGCTTGGGCAGGACTGGGAGGTGGAGATATGGCTCGCAAGTCCAGACTCTGCCATCCCAGGCTTCTCCCTCTAGCCTGACTCAGGGACAAACAAGTCCCCTTTCCTCTAATGTAACTGCTCCCCTCCCCCATGACCCTGTTCATATTCTCCTCTTCCGGGGAGCCTTCCCTGAGGTCCTTTGCTGACCTCCATCATTTACTGTGTGTACTGTTCAGCTGGCATCTATGTTGCTTTCTATCTGTCTGTCTGTCTCCTTGAGTGGACTCGAGTCCTCTATGGGCAAGGAACCACTCTAAAGCTTCCACATTCCCTCTCGGTGGTTTGCCTTCATTCATTCATTGCCTTCCTCATCCCTCACCCTTCCTTTCATGCCATTATTCAGTTGTGCAGCCCTGGGCTGGTCTCTAAAGGGACAAGAACGAGACACAATCTCTGATCTCAGGGCTCCCGGTCCAGCAGCTGCTCAGTGAATGTTTGCATGTGATTTGAATGTGTCTCTCTCTGGGGGTCTTTATTCATCTCCTCTGGGCCGCCAGCTATCCCGGGTGCCCCCAGTAGAACTCACCAAGGAGTGTCCATCTGACCAGCGGAAGTCTCCTTCGATGGTCTTGTCATTCAGGCCGATCCACTGATAGTCCTGAGCATTGTCTGGAGAGAGGACGTGGGTATGGGGCGCCCTGAAGGTGTCTGAGAAACTTGAGCTCGTAGAGACAGAGGGGATGGAGGGGTGGCAGGAGCTGGGTGGGCTCCTAGGAGCGTGACACCTGCCTCCAGGGTCCTGACAAGGGTTTTAGCACCTGCATGTTTGGAGTGCATTTGGACCATCTCCCTGAGCTGACATGGACTGGTGACCGACTCGGGGTTAATCCAGGGCTGACTCTGACAGACAGTGGGCTGTCCTGGGTGCAGCCAGAGCCGTTGGCCCCTCAGGCGGCGGAAATGCCCTTCCCTCCCTCCCTGCCCCCGACCCCTGCTGCCTCACTGGGCCCAAGTCCGCTGACTGCTGTCAAGGGAGATCCTTTGCCCACGTGACCGTTCTCCGCTTGGGCCCCTGAGGCCCGGCCGCACTCACTGTTGACAAATTCCTGCTCCTCAGGGGTGACGATGCTGCTCAGGTGTGACTGCTGCTTCCGGCACTGGCCCTCGGCGTCCACCCAGGTCGCCCGGTCGGGGAAGTGGCGGTAACAGTGGCCCTGGAACTTGGTCCAGCCCTTCTCACACAGCTTCTGGTCTGCAACACAGGTCAGGGGCTTGAGGAGAGGGCCTGGAGGCCGACTGGGGATGGCGTCTGCTGCCAGTCTCAGGGCAGGGATTCCTGCCTTCACCCTGCCTTCCGTGTCGCTCCCCAAAGGAAGGGAGAGGCCCGACTGGATTGAGGATCAAGTTGGAAGCCAAGAGGCCTGGCCCTGCCCCCTCCTCCCCCAGGAGCCTCTGGGAAATGCCAGGGACCCTTTCTTTTCCTGATATTGCCTCCCACCCCCAAAGCTTTTCTCCTGTTGAAGTCTGCTCTGCAGGGCTGGCAGAGCCCAGCAGCCAGGTAAAAAGAGGTGGGAAGGTAGGAGGTGTTGAGGCTTAAGGAAAAACATGGCTCAGAGGCTGTGAGGGGCTCCAGGGAGAGAGGGAACTGCGGGGAAGTGTGTGAAGGGGGCAGCAGCAGGCGGTGCTGGGGGCATGAAATAGAAACTTGGCTGGGGACAGAGGAGCAGAAATGTCTGCTTTGGGTCCAAAGAAGACACAGAGCTCTAAGTCTATCCTATCAGAGCACACGATACTGCCTCAGGGTCCCCGACCCAGGGACCCTGGCTTTTCATTCTATTTCTTGGTGGCAGATGGGAAGAGGGGAAGGGCTTCTCTCCTCCCAAGCCTACATTGTTAATGGATTCTGAGTCCAGCAGAAGGCACTGATGTGGAGCTCTTGGAGCAGAGCCTAGAGGGACAGACAGAGGCAGGTGGTGCTGGAACTGGCCCCTTCAGGCTTGGGAAAGCCATTAGGAGTGTGTCTTCCCAACTCGGCCTTTATTTTTAAATTTTATTTTATTAATTTGTTTATTTAACTATTTTTGGCCGCTCCGTGCGGCATGCGGGATCTTAGTTCCCTGACCAGGGACTGAACTCGTGCCCCCTGCAGTGGAAGCGTGGAGTCTTAACCACTGGACCGCCAGGGAAGTCCCCCAACTCGGCCTCTAGTGACATTACATTGGTAGCTTTAACTGGCCCTTGTGAGAGTGTTAAACCCCAGAAACTGGCAGATGCTACAAATCAGGGATCCTCCTTCCTCTTTGAGAGTCAGTTGTTAAACATCTGCCAGCACAGTACGGGACAGAGGGAATTCCAAAACCCTCTTTTCTTCCTTCCCCTGGTGACTCACAGGTGAAGGGCTGTCCCTAGGGCCCTGGGGCTGAGTGTCGGGCCATGAACCCCTCAGGCTGTATGGCAGCCTCCCTGGTCTGGCTGTTCCAGGAAGAAAGGACCAGTACCTGAAGGGAAGGATGCTTAAGCTGAAGGGGTGGGTGCTTGGCAGGGTTGGAAGACAGACACTTGGGAAGAGCAGAGAGAGAGAAGAGTTTGAGGCCAGCAGCCTTTGAAGAAAGAGGCAGAGCAGCAGGAAGGCTTAGGAGGATGCTGCCAATGCCTTCCCCAAGGGTTTGGAAAGAAAGGCAGAGAGACTTCAGAGGTAGCTGAGCACCTGAGGAGGCCAGAGACATATCATCCCAGGGCTGATTGTGGGGTCCATTTTTGGGCCACCTGAGTGCCTGAGGGCTGAGTTGGGTGGGCAAAGCTGGAGGCAGCAGCTGTGCTGGGATGGGCCAGGGCCATGCAGGATGGAGGCTCTGGGGAAACAGCAACACAATTCCAGGAAGGCTGCAAGAAGGAGCAGGGCCAGAGCCAAGGCTTGAAGCACCCTTGGGATGGTGAGCGCTCAGGATTGGAGTAGGAGAAGAGATGCAGCCCTGCTCAGTTGGGCGCCCAGGGCCAGGGCCCGGTTCGGGGGCTCTGGCACCCTCTCTCTGCTCCATCAGAGTGCAGAGCCCTCTGCGGGCCTGGCCTCCACTCCAGCAGGGCACTTCCTCTCCCAGTCTGACACCCAAGAGCTGTTGTCTGCGTGGACATTCCATGCCCTTCTCCCTGTGGCAAATATTCTGGCACACTGGGGAGGAAATCCTTGTAACTCTCCACTCCCACCCCAGACAAGACCCCCATGCACCAATTTCTTGGAGTCTTGGGGTGAAGGTGGAGAATGGGAGGCTGCAGGGAAGGAGGGTCCAGGCCAAGTCTTTTCTTCCAGAAGTTCCTCCACCAGTCTGTAACCTTGGCAGTGCCTCCAAGGAACATGCAATCCAAAACTAACTTCCCACTCTGATTAGGAGTTTCAGTTGCTGTCTGGAAGTTTCTGCGATGTCTAAATTGAGAGTTCATTGAAAATGGTTTTGAGCCCCTAAACACTTCCAGTTCTGCACGGACCATTGCTACTAGCAACTGCAAGCTCCACCTCCCCCTTTCTGAGTTGGGGTGGCCCTGAGATGGGGAGACTAGGAAACACTGAAGGTGAGAGGGCTGTGGGCTCAGTCTGGTCTCAGGAAGTTCCTGGCCTACAGCTCCCCTTGGCAGGGCCTGGCCCAGGTGCAGAAACTGAGGGGTTGGCAAGGCCCAAGAGAGGAAGCTCAGAGCCCTTGCAGCGAGGCTCTGTTCTCTCTGGCCAGCCTTTTGCCTTGCACAAGGGAGGGAGGAAGGAAGCGTGGACCGGAATGGCACTGACGTGGCAGCTGTCATGGTGGCAATGAGGACAAGGTGACATGCAGCTGTCCTTGTGCATGCATGACTTGAGCATGCTGGTGACACGGGAGATCTCAGACAGACAGACCATAGCTCTTGCCAGAGAAGAGGAAGGCAGCTTGACCAGTGTGGCACGGTGGCTCCCAAGGCCATGGAGGGGCCACAGAGGTCCCGTGGGCAATACGGCAGGCAGACACATGCCCATGGCCATGCTGGGAAGATCCGGGGCTCTCATCCAGAGCAAGAACCAATGACTCCCACCCATAGTGTCCTGCAAGACAAATGCATGGAATTGGTTCTGTCTTCTTAGTCTGATGCATGCACCAACTTTGCTGGTGGCATCTGGAAGCCCTGGAGCAGGTTAGTGTTTGAAAGGTCCCCCAGAGCCCCACCTTCCAAAGTGCAGGCTGGCTCGGCCTGCATGTCTCTTCTGCAGTCAGATCAGCCAGTGCCCCAGAGGAGGGTTTCCGCAGGGAACAGCAAGAGAAGGAGTGAGAATGAGTGGGGCCGACTTCTCACTTGTGGTCCCTGAAGTGGCTGTCTGGATGGATCTTGGGGGCCCCACAGGACCTAGAACCTGTGGTTAGCAGGGAAGGATGAGGGAGGAAGAGGGGGTGCAGCAGTTAGTAACATTAGCTGAAGCCGAGACGGTCGTACCGATCTCACACAGGTCCCCTTGGTAGCTGGGAAGGCATAAGCATGTGAAAGAGTCGATGGCATCCACGCAGGTGGCTCCATTCAGACAAGGGCTTGAGAGGCACTCGTCAATGTCTGCAAGAAACCAAGGGCCACCATTAGGACTCCTGCCGGCAACTCCAGCTTCACAATTGCATTGCAGCTTCTTTATGGGTGGCCAGCCCTGCTGCTCTCCAGAGCCCTGGATTTCCTAAGAACTGTTGCTGCTGCTGCTGCTGCCGCCATCTTGGAGTGCTGAGCCAAAGATCCAACAAGGGTTTTCTTGGATGTGTGTGGTTCTGGATGGGCAAGCTTGGAGCATTGGAGCCAGGTTTCCCGGTGGGTGAAGGGATCCGCTGCTTCTGAGGGCAAATGCCTACTGTGAGAGTGAGCTTGGAGTTCCTCCAGGACGTCTTCTCTTGTGAATATTTCAAGAGGCCTTGAGGTCTGAATTGGCTCTCAAACATGGTGGTGTGCAAGGACACTAGAATTCCAGTTCTTGAAGCTTGGTTAGAGCTCTTTCTTTTCCTAGCTTCTTCTGTAGTTATGAACCAAGGAAAGAGGACAAGGCCGTGCAGTACTAGAACAAACAAGCTAGAAGTGGTTCACAGAGTATAGCATCGTGAGAAAATGGCAGTGTGGGATATCCGCATGAGATTGTTAGATTTTTTTTTTTTTTTGGTTGCAGACACCTTCTTTGTCTTCAGTAAATTAGATTCTAGAGTATCTTATAAAGATGAAGCCAACATTGTTATCTTGCGGGGATGGACAGAGACCCAGCTTAATAGTTCCCCATGTAATCTCCTTCCAGTTTAAGGCCTCAGAACATGGACATCTCCAATGAGTCATGATTTCTAGAAGGGCTGCATCCTGGCCAGTGGGAGACCAGTGTTTGAAGCCAGTGAGGCACTTAGTAAGTGGCCACCCACCAGCACCAGCCTGGGATACTGTCAGGTCCCCATTAGCCTCTGTTCCCCAGAAGACTCTTCTTTCCTTCTGTTCTTCTAGTCCAGGATGTTCTTTGTGATCCAACTTCTTTGTGGGACTTACATTGGTAAGTCATTGGCCTTTGCCTCAAATTTTCATCCATTAGCCAAGGTGAGAACTGAAACTCCTAATCTGGTCTTTCTGCACTTTCAGAGAAGCCAGAGACCTAGAGAATCCTTCTACTCTCTTTGTATTCGTTCTCCAAAAACACCGGCTGGGTTACTTCCTCTGGGAACATGATAAAAGGTATTGTGAAGCTCCTCTTCCCAGGGGATTAATAAAATTCTGGAATGAAAGGGTTCCACTGGCTTATGGGGGCAGCATGATATGTACAGCTATATTCATACAACCTTCAGGACCTGGCATGTCTGTGGGTGGTCTCCATGTAGGCAGCTCCCTAAATATGTTCCAGGACTTAGGTCTTACCTCTCATAAGAACTGACTAGATCTTAACGTCAATCCTCTGATAAGAAGATAAAAGCACTTCCTTCTGGATCCTTTTCAGTAGTGCATAGCCGATGTTATCTAGAACAGAGCTGGGTTTGTGCAATGGGAGGCCTGAAAATCTCAAGTCCTCAGGTATGTCTCTCTTCCCACGAAGTTCTTGACTTTATTTCAGGGAGTGTACACCATGGGCTAGAAACCAACAGTTCCAAGTTTGAAACTGTTCCAAGCAAAACCAAAATGCATGGAGGAACGGACTGAAATCCCAGCATGCACTTGGATTCCCAGCATGCACCAGGATTCCCAGCAGCAGCAGTAGCAGCAATAGGTCAGGCCGGTGGGTGGAAGCTGGGGGAGGTTCTCCTGCTTCAGAAAAGCTACTGTTGTCTTTCGTCCATTAGCGTCATTATGGAAGATGGGAAGCACTGGGCAAGGGGGTATTAAGCAAATGTAGGCGCTAAAGCAGTTGTACAGAGCAGGGGACAGGAGTGGCCCATGGGGAGAAGAGCCAGACATCAACCCTGGGGCCTCTGGCCAACCCCTGAGGGAGAGGGCGGGAGGGCGGAGGCCCCGAGGGAGGTCAGGCCAGGTAGCTTCCAGTGGTCCCAGAAGCTTATTTCACATCACTCACCCCCACAAGGCGGCCTGAGGTCTAGGACAGTTTTCCTTTGGTGTTTGGCCAGGGCACAGGATCTGAGAAGGCTGCAGGGACTGAAACTCAAGGAACCAGGTTCCCGGGCTCAGAAGCTGTTTTATGCAGGGCCCTGGATTCACAGATGAGGAGGAAAGGAAGGGCCATAATCCTGAAGACCAGAGAGCCTGTGAGTGGCTCTGGAGCAGCTTAGAGAGGCCTTCAACAGTAGGGAGAGGGCTGAGTATCCTGTGTGGGGCCTTCTCAGGCTTGTGGTGTGTCCTCTCCCCTTCCACTGGCTGGAAGAGCCACTCTGGCTCTGATTTGCCCACCTCTTTCTGTGAAGGCAGTTGGAACATTGCTTGTCCTCTGGAACCATGAGAAGAGTTGGGCTGGGCCCTGCTGTACTTTGGGTACCCCAGACAAAGTGACAGCAGATGGAGGATGGGAAGGGCTTTGGGCAACGGGCAGACTGTATGAAAGAAGAGAGGAAAGAGAGGGAGCCAATATCTCCCAAAAATCTTCTATGAGCCAGACACTATGTCTCACAAACACTTATCCTCCCAGCGGCCCTATGGCATGGACGTCGCTGGGCCATTTTACAGATAAGAAAACAAATGAAGTGACCTGCCCATGCTGGTAAGTGGGGGAGACAGATTGGAGAAGATGGAGGAGAGAATTAGACCATGAGGATGAAAGCTGGGCCTCTGTTCCACAAGGAGAGAGAGAGACACACTGGAGTCCTGGATCTCAGCATCTCATTACCATCTCTGCTGCCCCAGCCAAGGGCTCACCGGTTATCACTAAGCAGGGACTTTGTGTCCTCTTCTCTCTACTCTAACCAAAAGGGATGTTTTTTTCCTGAACAAGGCCCTCTAGTGATATCTCTAACTTAGGGGAGAAAATAACTGAGAACCCCGGTAAAGGTGAGGGTTCTGAGTTGGAGACCACAGGTCTCCACCCTGAAGGGGTCTTGTCCAGATGTTGCCTGGGTCAGAGCCCAGGATTTCCAAGTTAGAGCTTATTTTGTTCATAGAAAAGGTCGAATGAAGTGACAGCAGGCGCTTTTACTCAAGTGATACCCAACCAAAGGGGTTGCCACTTGTAAATAGCATGGTATGAATGGTACCCCTCAAGTTGTTCTGTGTACAACATGTGCAGCTGTTTGTAGTGACCCTGGACATGACTTTCCTGGACAAGGATAGGGGGAAAATCTCTTCAAAAAGCACAGAGACAATTTCTTAGCTCAACAGATGCTCTGCAGCCTGCAAAGACCTAGGATCAATCAGGATGAACAGAATTGAATACGTACACTCACTTTCTGGTGTATCACAATTGACAGAAGGATTACAAGAGCATATTTATCAGCTCTAATTTGCTTTAAAAACAAACATGATTAGATTAAAAGTATGTTATATTTATTTATACTACCAAGTTGTTTATACTTTTAAAGTTTGATCTTGAATGTAATTTTAATATCCTGCTAAATTCAATTAGTTGCCTGCTAAAATCTGCCCATGGACTTCTTGGTTAAGTCAAGAAGGTGTAATTTGTATTTTCACTTGTAACCCTGTATTTTCACTTGCTTGGAAAGCACTTCCTCCCACCTCCCAGGGATAAGGTGTCACTGGAATTCAAACATCACCCCACTAGGAGGAGAGACACGGTCAGGTCATAGATCAGAACCCCAAGTCCACAAAGTAAAAGATGTCAGTTAAACAGAAAAGAGGCTGATTAAATTTTAAGTTCATGCCCTTCTAACCAAGGACTTTAGAGAAATCCAGGCAATGCCAGCGATTCCTGGGAAATTGGATGTGAGATCTGATTTCTCAAATTTAGCTGCCCATTAGAATCACTGTAGTAGTTAATCTTTTTTTTTTTTTTTCTGTGGTACGCGGGCCTCTCACTGTTGTTGCCTATCCCGTTGCGGAGCACAGGCTCCGGACACGCAGGCTCAGCGGCCATGGCTCACGGGCC